CATTAGTTAATAAGAAAATAACATATCTTGGGAAAAATAGTAAATCCTGGGAAAGTCTGAAGGGTGTAAATTGGTGACATGTTTTATTGATGATTCTGTACTTTTGATGATTGTATGGCTGGGGGTCATATCCTGGAAGGATGTAGATTGGTGTGCTCTCAATCATGGTTAAGGAAATGTCATGTCTTGGCAAAGTTTTAAACTATATAATTAATGACGTATTGTGAATCTATAATGATGAGAAAAATTGTAATAAAAAGGGGACCCAGAGAAAGCTGCTTTAGCTCTCTCTCTGAAGATTGCTCAAACGGTACGACTCCTGTCTCATCTTTTCGCCGACGCCACTCATCCTTCAGGACTCCCTGGACCCCGCTGGGGCAGGACCCTGGCAGAAAGGGGTGAGGGGTTTTCCTCATGGCAGTGGTACACCATGACTGGATTGGGCTATGATCAGATCCCCCCATGCCAGATCTGGCTCCCTTCTAAGGAAAAGAGGCCTGAGAGGAGATGGGGCATGCTGAGGGTCTAAGGAGACTTTGAGATCCACACGCCTTTCCTTCCACTGTGTCAAGCCCTTGAGCTACAGCCCCAGGTGAAGCCCTGAATTCGGAAGTGCTAGCAGAAACCAGAGACCTAACAGTCCATTCTCTAATATTCTTAAACACCTTCCCCTAGGAGTTACATAACGGATCAACAATCACTGTATTTTTCAGAGAAGAAGAATAATAGGAATCTAGAATCTCCAGTTTAAGCCTGAAGCAATAGTTTCATTTAAATAAAGAAACATGGCTGGTGGCTTGAGTGTACTTAACACTAGACCTCTGGTGGACTCAGAGACCCCTGAGGGCAGGGACTGACTCCCACCATTTTTTGTTTCTGGCACCTGGTAGTGTCTAGCTCTTCCCAGAGCAGAATGACTGCTGAGGGAGATGACACTGCAAAGTCTGGCCGCACTTTCCATTTCCATCTGTATTTCTTTTCTTTTTAAATATTTTTTAGTTGTAGATGAACACACAGTATCTTTATCTATTTTTATGTGGTGCTGAGGATTGAACCCAGGGCCTCACACATGTGAGGCAAGCGTTTTACCACTGAGCTACAGCCCCAGCCCCTCCATCTGTATTTCTTATGTTGTCTTGACAGTATGAGATTTCCTAAGGCCTCTATTCTCTTCATCTTTATAATAAAGAAAGAGAATCAAGATGACTCTGGCAAGTTCTCCCAACTCCAAGTTTGGGGAAGTCTAAGAATCCATATGTCTTTACCAAAATTGTGAAAACTTAGAAAGTTAGAGCCTCAGGAAGCACTGGAGAATTCAAGGGGAACTTCTGTCCAGCATACACTAGGTGCTCAACCAGGGTTAGCAGAAACTGAAATAAATCTGGAATCAGCAAAGGACTGTCACCACATCCACGAAGAGTCTGAGGGAGGTGTGGGGTTTGGAGAGTATAGATCTGAGGAAGAGCCACCCAGCTTCTGTGTGAAGCTAGAGGAAAGGTGGAAAGCGGAAGGAGCAGGCAAGGCAGAGGCATACTGAGAGATTTCTGGGTAGTGTCCTGTGGGGAAGGGATCTGGGGGACCTGTCCATCTCTTATCACTCTTTCCAAGCTTCCTCTTCCTTAGAGTGATGTTGCTCACTCCCCTCCTCCCCTCTTGAGAACTCACAGAACAGTTGTCCTTCTCATGGAATGGGTGTGGGGAGCTAAAGACAAGTCCCCTTTCAAATCCCTCCCCAGACCATCCCTTTATAGGTTGGAATTCATGAGGGATTCGCCTCCTCCCTCACTCAAGAAATTTCCCAGGATTCCCAGAAGTGGATGCCCAACTCTTTTTCTTCCTAGCTCCTTGCAGGAGAAACTCTTCAAGGGTGGTGATTTTTAACCTTTGAGGACATCACAGACCCCTTTGAGAATCTAAGGAAAGTTCTAAGTCCCCTGAAAATGCACATACAAAACAAAATTTTACATATACAGTACTTTGCAGGGAGATCCCATCCAAAGCCAGTGGAGCTAGGAATTCTTGTCAGTTGAAGAAGTTTACTGAACCACTAACAGTGTTGTTACCGAAAGCTCAGTCCTTACCCCCCATGCCAATCCAATAACAAGGACACAGTTTTGAGAAGAAGGAAAAAGAGATTTTATTGCTTTGCTAGCAAAGAAGAAAAACAGGGGATTCATGTCCTAGAGCCTGTGATTCTCCCCATCAGCAGGAACAGGGGGCTTTTAAAGAGGTCATTCAAAGGCTACCTTTGGAGTGTTCTTTATTGGAGTTATAATTTACTTGTTAATTTGGGAGATAGTTATTTCTGAGATCTTCTGGTACCATCCCCAAAGTCTGGATTACTTTGTTCTGGGTGTGTACTCAGGGAGAGAAAAATCTGCCTAAAATGGGGAAGAAAGATCATCCTGTTTCCCCCTGAGATTAGGGAGGGGGAGAAATAAGGGAGAAACAGGGAGAAAGAAAAAGAAACATATCCATTAAAAAAATTGTAGTGGCAGAGCAGCAAGGGCTATATTCAAAGCATAAAGTGGACCACTGTTACAGTGTGGCCTGGGGAACTTATTTAACCTCTCTGCACTTTAGTTTCCTCATCCTATGATAGAATCCACCTCATAAGTGGTCATGAGGATTAAATGAGATAATACGTGTAAAACACCTTAGAACTATGTCTGACAACTGGCAAATATTTAATTAACATGAGATATTACTATTACTACATCTCTTCTGTGGTAATTCATGGTGGCATTTGGGAGCGGTCTCACCATTCAATGTAAGAAATACAACCCCAGAGAAATAAAATAAAAAAGGAAATTGGTATTGACCTAATTCAGATAAAAAGTGATTGGTGGTAGTGAGAATATAGAGAGAGATATTTCAATATTAATTACACAGAAGGTGACTTCTTCTTCCTTATGCTCAAAAGTGGGAAACGGGCATGCTCATGCCAAGCACTTTCCATGTATTTATCCCATGATCTCAGTGACAGGAGCATCATTATCCTCACTTTACATATAAAGAAACTGAGATTCAGAAAAGCTAATTGACTATAACCCAAAGTCACACAGCTACTCAGTGGTGATCCCCACACCTTTTTAGGAAGAACTTGACACAGTTTGAAACATATCCTCCATCTTAGAACAAGAGTCCCTCACAGTCACCTCACAGTGACTCAGCCTGACCTAAACCTCATCATGCAAAAGAAAGGAAATTGTTATCTGGGGCTGAAATCCTGAAAAACACCTGGTTCGAAATATGAGGGTGACACCCCAAGGACCCTTCCCTGAAAACCCCTAGGAAAGGCCTAATTGCAAAAACTCCCCCTCCCTCATTCCCCTATGACTGCCTCAGGCTCTTTCCTTACAGTCTCTACCATGTCTCTCTCGCTCTTTTTTTTTTTTAAAGAGAGAGAGAGAGAATATTTTAATATTTATTTTTTAGTTCTCGGCGGACACAACATCTTTGTTGGTATGTGGTGCTGAGGATCGAACCCGGGCCGCACTCATGCCAGGCGAGCGCGCTACTGCTTGAGCCACATCCCCAGCCCCCGTGTCTCTTGACTAAACAGAGAAAGCCTAGGGCAGGGAACATCCTTCTTTGGGAAACCTGGGGAGTCCCTTTTCCAGGGCTGCTGGCCAAACAGAGTAACTTTCAGCCTAATTTGGCTTTTTCACTCAGTGACCTTCTGGAAGGGGACAGGAGTGCAATTGTTACCAAACTGCTCAGACTTCATCTTCCCACTGTCTACTTGCCCCTGCCACACAGGCCAGGAAACATGGATCTCCTGGGACAGCCTGCCTCTCCCTTTCTCCAGGGCCCAAGCACAAGCCCTTTGCCCTGCCCAGCCCCAGGAAGCTGCCTGCCTTTATCTGTGCCTGTCAATACCTCTTCCCCTACCTTCCTTCCTTTTTCATTGTTGATCCCAATGTCTTGTCTACATTTTTTGGGAAAAAAAAAAAAGTGAGCTTGTGGGAGGGGGAAAGTGTAATTTCCAGGAATTGTTTCAGGACTGCTGCTCCTACTGCTTAGAGCAAAGCCGTGTGCCCCCTCCTGCCCAGGTTGGCAAGGAGCCTAGTCTCCTGCCCCTCCCTTTTTCCCTTCCTCCCAGCCTCTCTCTTTTCAGCTGCCCCACTCCCCCAAAAAAAATTACCTTCACATGAAAACTGTAGAGCTCTCACTTATTTCTTCCTGAGGGAACAGCTTTCCCTCTTAGCCTCTGCTCAAAGGAACCACCATGAATTCCTCTTGGTGGGCATAGGTAAAGGCTGGGAGCAGGTGGAGGTGAGGCTGCAGAGGTGCGTCTCCACATGACATGGAGAACAAGGGCTTCCCTGGAGGGATTTTAGTCTAGCAGAAGCTCCGTCTGTATGGCTCAAAGGCATGAAGATGGAAGTGAAAATTTTCAGAAGCCTCCTTATTGAAAAAAGGCTACCAATGGGATAGAAATTAAGAAGAGGGCTAAGGTTGTGGCTCAGCGGTAGAGCACTCGCCTAGCAAGTGTGAGGCCCTGGGTTCAATCCTCAGCACCACATAAAAATAAATAAATAAAACAAAGGTATTGTGTCCAACTAAAAACTAGAAAATAAATATTAAAAAAAGGAGAGAGAAAGAGAATATGTGGAAATGTCTGAAAAATCAAAGTAAACCATAGCTGTGACAGATTTCTTGATCCAGAAGTGGTCTAATAAATAGAGAGGACTCAAGAAATCTCAAAGCAAAATATATCCCCTCCATGAAGAAGGATGGGGTGATAATGGCATAGCAATGTGAAAGTACTTGATGCTACTGAACTGTGCACCTACAAGTTGCTTACAGTGTAAATGTTAATATTAAAGATATACACATATATACAAACAATAAAAAATCAAGTAGCAAACTTAACAAAATCCCCTCCTTGAGTAGATAAAATATTGTATGTATATATAGTAGAATATAGCTCAGCACAGAAGGAAATGAGGTAGACACAGGTTATATTGAGAATGAACCTTGAAAATATTATGCTAAATGAAAAACACCAGATACAAAATGTCACCTGCTGTATGAGTCCATGTGAAATATATATCCACACTAGATAAATCCATAGAGGTGGAGAACAGGCTGGGGTCTGCATGTTTTCTTGGCCATGCTTGAGAATGGCCCCTCTGTACCAGCCTTGGGATCTATGGAAAGGAAGGATGTCACCAAGTTCTGTGTGTACAGGAAGCACCACAAGGGCATTGCTCTTGTGCCCTGGATTTCTCCAAGCTGCATAGATACATCAAGGACATTGTGAAGGACTACCAATTTAAGAAACAGAAGATGCTATTCGTCGCAACCAAGGGTTAATTCATGTCCTACATCAAAAAGGCCCAGCTCAACACTGCCAATGTCCCTGCCAGGGGCCCCAAACCTGAGGGGACCATCATGTGCTACCTGGAAAAGCCTGAGGATCACAGCTAGGTGGCCTGATCCTCTGGAAACAGTACCAGTTATTTCCCACAACCTGGAGACCAAGATACCAGGCATGAAGTTTCCCTTTGGCTCTATGAGGGTCATCTCCCAAGCCATAGGTGGCCAAAATGACAAACCCATCCTGCAGGCTAATGAGCTTACCACAAGTAATTAGGCAAAGAAGAACTGCTGGCTACCCATGCAGGATGTGTTCATGACCCTATGGACCATCCCTTCACCAGTACATGGGAAAACCCTCTTCTGTCCACAGAGAAGTCCCTGCTGGCCACAAAGTTGCCAGACCAGTGTCTCCATGGAACCAAGACTATGAAGAAGGAGAACAAGGAATAGCGGGTGACTGCTTAGTGGGTACAGGGTTTTTAATTTGGGGTGATGGAAATGTTGAGGACCTAGACTGAAATGGAAATTGCACAATGTGAATGTACCAAATGCCACTGAATTGTACACTTTAAAATGACTAATTTTATGAGAATTTCCCCTTTATCTCTTTAATCCCTTCCAGCCAACATACCCTTGACCCTACATCCTACAAAACAAGGGCCCAGGTTCAGGTGGCTCTACCACATGCACAATGAGATAGGCAACTCTCTTGGTCCTAAAAGAGGATGGAGAAGCCCATTTCCCGCCCCATAGAAGTACATCCTGGGTCTCTGGAAATGGCTAAGGTGAGAGTGCTCTGAGAGGAAGGCAGCTCTGCTGACACAGGATCTCACCAACACAAGCTCCTTACTCTATAGCTTTCAGGGAAGGAGAAGGGAAGTCTGGTCCCTCCCTCATACCCCTTTGCCCACCTTTCCCCAGTCACACAGTGTGCCCTTCCCTTTCCTTCCCGTGGTGAAGTGTGGAGTCTTGGAGCCCTTCTCCTCCCTCCCCATCCAGGAGTCTCCACTCCACATTCAGACTTTTCTCTCTCCCCAGATTCTCACTTCAGATCACAGAATGAAGACAGGGAACTGGAAACCCTTGTGGGTGGAGTTGGGGTGGGTACAGGGAGACTGGGGGGTGAACTTGTAGGGACACCAGAGCCATTTAAAGCCTGACTGATTATCAGATTTGTTTTAGCCCCCACCCCCACCCCACAGTTCTGCTCTAGTAGAAATCAAGACAGACGGGGAAAAGTGGGACTCTAAGCCAGCTCAGAGAGGAAAATAATCTTTTTTTGTGTGCCCTTCCCTGAGCCCTTTATTTTGGTGGCTCATTTAATTCTCACATCATCCCTCTTAGTAGGTACTGTTGTCCCCATTTTGCAGAGAAGAACTGAAGCTTATAGAAGTCAATTCATAGAGCTAATGAGTGAAGCAGCTGGATTTTAATGCTTGCATCCTGACCTCCCTATTTGCTTTTTGCTGGGACGTCCCCTCTTACTGGATTGGGGGAATGCAGGAAAAACCTCAGCCCTCTTCCACAGAGCTTTAGCCAGTGACAGCTATTTCCCGGATGAAGGGCAGCCCTGAAGCCAGTAGCAAAGGGCGGCCCTGAAGCCAGCAGCCCCACAGCCAGGGTCCCTTCAGTCTCCTTGCAACTTCCTAACAGCCCAGACCTGTAGGACCTCCAGGACTAGAGGTGCATCCACGGGAAATCCAGGTGAGTGTTGTCCCCTCCCAGGGAAGATGGAAAGCCAGGGCTTGAAGACAGATTTCCCAGAGGTGAATCAGAGGGGAGGGGTGTTGTGTGTGCATACATGCGTGTCCTCTCACACCTAATGCCTGAATGGCTAGACAGTGTGGAACCCTTAGTGAAGACGCACGACAAAGTGGAGAGAAGTGGAGGTTGGAGACGCTCTAGGGCTGGAGGTGGGATGGGACTGGCTGGGGCTGGGAAGAAACCTTGTTGGGCAAACCATCCTGGTCTCTACTAGCACTGAAATCCCTTAGCAAAATGTCTGTGCTCTTGGGTCAAAGCTGAATCTTTCCCCAAGGGCCCCCAGCCCCTATGCCTTCTACCTGGGAGGCACAAGGCTGCTTTCAAGAGTTCCTTTCTCTTCCCACCCTCTCTTCTTCCCAACAGGTGCTTGCAGGTCCTCATGTCAGTCAGACCCAGCTCGGGGCCAGGCCCCTCTGAAGGGCCCACCGCAGCGCCTGACAGTGAAGAGTTCCACAATTGGGAGGAATTGCTCTACTTCTTCAACCACACTTTGTCCGAGTGCCACCTGGAGCTCAGTGAGGACACCAAGCGAGTGGTCCTCTTTGTCCTCTACCTGGCCATCTTTGTGGTTGGGCTGGTGGAGAACCTCCTGGTGGTATGTGTCAACTGGCGTCGCTCAGGCCGGGCTGGGCTGCTGAACCTCTATATCCTCAACATGGCCATCGCGGACTTGGGCATCATCCTGTCCCTGCCTGTTTGGATGCTGGAGGTCATGCTGGACTACACCTGGCTCTGGGGAGACTTCTCCTGCCGCTTCACTCATTACTTTTACCTTGCTAACATGTACAGCAGCATCTTCTTCCTGGTGTGCCTCAGTGTTGACCGCTACATCACCTTCACCAATGCCTCTTCCTCCTGGCAGCATCGCCAGCACCGAGTGCGGCGGGCTATATGTGCAGGAGTCTGGGTCCTCTCAGCCATCATCCCACTGCCCGAGGTGGTCCACATTCAATTGGTGGAGGGGTCAGAGCCCATGTGCCTCTTTGTGGCACCTTTTGAAACATATAGCACATGGGCCCTGGTGGTGGCCCTGTCCACCACTGTCCTGGGCTTCCTGCTGCCCTTCCCTCTCATTGCAGTCTTCAACGTGCTGACAGCCTGCCGACTTCGGAGCCAGGGACAGCCCCAGGGCCGGCGGCACTGCCTCCTGGTGTGTGCCTACATAGCTGTTTTTGTCATCTGCTGGCTGCCCTACCATGCGACTCTGCTGCTGCTCACTCTGCATGGGAGCCACATATCTGTCCATTGCTACCTGGCCCACCTGCTCTATTTCTTCTATGACATCATTGACTGCTTCTCCATGTTGCACTGTGTTGCCAACCCCATCCTCTACAACTTTTTCAGTCCAAGCTTCCGGGACCGGCTGCTGAGTGCTGTTGTCCACTACCTTCCAAAGGACCAGGCCAGGGCAGGTGCACGGGCTTCCTCTTCATCCACTTCCACCCAGCACTCCATCATCATCACCAAGGAGGGCAGCCTGCCCACTACAGCTGCCTCCCCCAGTCCCACCTAAGCCTGAACTTCCAGCCGCCCTCTGCTTCCAAATGCCTCATCTCTGTTTGGCAATCCCATAGGCAGCTGAGGTAGATTCCAGGCTCTTCCATGAGTCGAGTAAAAGGCTGAAGGGGGAGGTGAGACATTTTGGGGGAGGGGGGAGGGAGAGCATCAGAATACTCATGGTATATCTGAAATATGGGAGAGGGAGAAGGGATGGGGAGGAATAGAGAACAGGTCCTTCCTTGGTGTTGTATTATTTGTTTTGGCCCTTGTGTCTAAGGGAGCAATGCAGAAAAGAAAAAAAAAAGTGAAATAAATAATTAGAGATAGCCATGGCTCTGGATCTCTGAAAACTCTGCACTTCCAGCTGGGCTTGGGAAGGAAGCTGAGGCTAAAGGGATGCCCTGCATAGGAAACTAGACACATGCATTTCATAAATCATCCTAGCTAGAAAGAATGAGCTCCACAGGAACTTCACAAAACTTTCCTTTTGTTTGTGTGCTTGTTGATCTTCCAGCTCACTATGCAGGTTGTGGGGACATGAGGCCAGAGGTCAAGGAATCAGGAGGCCTCAGCAGGACATTCCCTATCTGTGCATGTCAGTGCAATGATAAGTGGAGGGGGATGGGGTCTACAGGGGTGGGGCCTGGGTCTGAGACAGGCACCCTGCAGCTGGGTCAGCAGGATAGTCTCTCCACCCTCCACCATCCAGGAAACAGAGTTCCATTTCCTTACTGATACCCTCCCCTCCCCCTTGTCCATCCTGCTCCTCCTCCCGCAAAGCAGAGGCACTGTTCCAGAGTCAATGCTCCTTGTAGCTTTTGATTTAGGACAATCTATCTTTCATGGAGACACAGAGCTACCAAAAATCCCACCACCATCTCCATTTCTTGCTTTCTCTCCAGATCATAGGAAAATATCCAGAGACATTCATTCTGGAGCAAACATGGTAACAGTTAGCAGCAGGTGCTGACAGTTACTCCATCCCTCAGCCTTTGCCCCCCTACAGGGATGAGAAAGGCCAAAGTGGAAATTTCCCAGTTCTGTGACAGAGTAGAGATCTAGCATGAAGTCAGTTCTCCCTGGCCAAGTCTTTTCATAATTTTCCTGCCTGACAATTTACATTTATTAACACTTGTTGTATAGATGGGGAAAGAAGTACTCTTGTTAACAAGTAGGTCTTCTGGAAAAGGCTCATTATCAGTTTGGGAAACTAGGCCCAGGAACTTGAAGAACACTGACGTAAAAGTCTAAGAACAGGCTCTGGTTTCCACTTTTCAATCACGATTCACATCTTTGGCCTCTCAATCCTGCGTGGAGAGCTAGGGAGCTATGGATACAATTGCTGATCCTCTGTTCCCTCTGTTCTGCTCCAGAGCTCACTGTGCCAGGAATGTTTAACTTGGATTAACTACCCATTACCTGGAGGCCAAATACTCTACTTTTGGAAATCTCAACTCATATTCAGCAGATGCATTAAACATGTGCTGCAATGGCGGATGCAGTCCAGGTCTGTCAGGAGCACAGAGAGAAACTTGTATCTGCCATTCCCTGATCACTTGGCCCAAACTGGAGAGGGTCTTAAGCTACACATAGAGAGAAGACTTTCTGAACAAGGTTTCTGGGTTGTTCTTGGGGATGTGATAAGGGCTTAACTTAACAATGCAGAAATGATAATATAAAGACTTTCTTCCCTTATTCCCACTTAGAAAGCAAGCCAAGATCTGATGACCTTATCACTAACTGCTTTGTCTTGGGCTCCAGGACCTTTCTGAAGGAAATCCAATTTTACATGTGTCACATCCCAAGTCACCACAGAGGCCACTTCCCCCAAACTTGTTATCACCCTGGCAGTAGGAATACTTCCTTAGAATCTTTTCACCCATGGAAGGGAAGGCTAGGAACTGATTATGCTGACTGTGACAAGACTGTTGTACTCAGCAAACATTTACTGAGCAACAATGACAGCTGAGCCTGGGCCATGTGCTCTGGGACCAACAGGACCATATCACTCCCTACCTGCTAGGGGTCTGTTTCTTCTGTGTTAACTCATTTGCATCAACCACAATAAATTATGCCAAACCTTTCCCTTCTCCCTATTCAAATCTTCCTTCCCCCTCCCACTTTCCATCTGCCTCTCTCCACTCAAAGACATACTGCTTCACCAAGAAATAAGTGGCCATGGTAAGACAATTTACAACTGAATCACTTACTTAGTAATGTTAGTCCAACTAGACATCCATAGTCTCACTGCTCTCTCTCAGTTTGACAGAAGAGGCCCTCAGGGACGTCCCCTTGAAGAGGTTGGGTTTTGACTTAAGTTCCCACTCAAAACTGGTCAACAAGCTAATCCTAGGGAATTCCAACTACAGGAAAGGAAAATGTGCTACCTGAAAGAATTCTGGTGTGTACTGAGCCAACATGTGTTACTGAAAGATGATGAGCTCAGATATTCTGAACTCAAGGTATGAGCATGTTTGTAGTACACAGGAAGCAAACTCTCATTTTAAATTTCTTCTTTTTATTATTCTAAATAAAAACCACACTTTGTGCTGAACAATGGAATATAAAAGAATCAGATGTACAACGATTTTAAACATCTACTATTTGGGAAAAAAAGTTTACAAAATATACAAAACTTTACAGCAATAGATAGTAAACACTTAAATATTAGGAGGTCAGTACTTATTAATTTAATGGAAGGAGTTAGACGTCAACAACTTTTTTCCATTTCTTAAGAGACTTTAGCTATTAGAGATGGAGGGAATTGGGAGGGTTGGACAGGGGAGGGTGTTACAGAAACATCAAAATCAAATGTTTCATTTTAATTCGGAAGTTTATGATGCATAATGACACTGAAACTAATGCTATGCACCCTGCTTCCTGTCTCATTTGGTGCAGGATTTAGGGAAAAGGACATGTGGGGACTCCCAGATGGGCACAGACTGCTCCACACAGTCCACTCCCATGCCAAAAAATTCAGTGTCTGTCTACAAAGGGATTTAATTTCACTTTCAAAATTGAGTGGTCTGGGGAAAAAGAGCACAGCAGGAGGCCAGAAAGAGGGGGGCAGGAATAATCAGTAGCAAAAGCCTGACTGGGAAAAAAGGCATTGAAGCCAAAGATTTGTCCTGGAGATAAAGGGTGCTAATAGAGGAGAAAAGAAGTGAAAAAGAATTTTTACCCATTTCTTAGTTTTTAGGGGTTGTTTGGGCCCCAAACCCACCTTACCTCCTTTTTTTCCAACTAGCCATGAACTAAAGGGACTCCCTGGAGTCTTAAAATTGAGGACCAAATACTGTTCAGCAGAGCTTCCAGTGGATGCTGTGGCATCAATGAGCCATCAAGTCACTGGATGCCAGGGTATTGATCCCCTGTTTGGCCACAAGCAGACTCCGCAGTTCATCCCAGCATGCCATACAAGGATTGCTGTTTCCCTGGAGGAAACAAATCAGCAATGGCCTCAGATTTGGTTTAATGCTGTACAACAGCCATCTTGAAATTCCTAACAATTTGTGAACCAGAGGGCTTTGCAAATTATGTAGCTGGTCCTGAGTACAGATCAAGAAAAAGGGAAAACAGGTAAAGAGAGAACATTCAAGGATCAAATAGAATTTCAGGGCATTACAGAAGGGACAGTGCTAAACTGGGTTCCTGGAGAGAGGGGGCAACGCAATCAAATGAGCATTAGGTTGAAAAATAAAAAAGGCAAATAAAATGAATCCCTTCCACTGGGTAGTATTTTACAGTGCCCTTTGTCACAATATAGTGTTTCAAGTAAAATTCAGAAAAGGGTGAGCTAGAGGCAGAGGAAACACAGAAGGGGACTTCAGTGTGACTTCACATAGAAGGGGAGTTCAATGTGAATACAGGGGACACCCAGCAGGGTAGGGTTTGGTCAATAAGACTCATGATCTACTGATCCTGTTGCTACATATCTGACTGGGACCAACTGGGCCTCCCTGATCAACCATTTAGCCTTAGGGGCATCCAAGGGTGCAGTTTTTTTGTTTATAGTGTTTCAAGGGCAAAGTTTCAAGGATCTGTTTTTTGGTTCATTGGCAAAAAAGGAAAACTTCACAGTTTCAGATTAAGTATACAGACCACCCAGCATCCACAATGATGTTTTTTGTTGTTGTTGTTGTTTGTTTTGTTTTTTAAAAAAGGATTTCTCCAGCATGTTTACTTACTTTGAGCTATCTGACCTATAAGTATTATTTCTCTCAAACTGACCCCTCAAAACTCAGTCCTCACCAACAGTCTGGGAGTAACCATCATGCTTGAAAAGCTTGGCAGATACTTGACTGTGGCCTATTACATGTCCCCTTCTCAAATTCCTAATGGTCAGCATAAGAAAGTAAGAAGACAGTCAGGAATGAAGTCTCAGAACTTCTCTCCTGAGAATGTCCCAAGTTGGGTTTAGATGGTAGGTGGGCCTTTAACTGGACAGTGTGCCTTGAGTGGCACATAAAAGTCTCCTGTCATCTAGTGAAGGACGGAGATTCCTGTGCTCCATTCTGAGGCTTCCTCAATTCCAAGCCAGGGAGAGAGGCAGCAGGCCTATTAGAGACAGAGCTTTGGTTTGGCCATGTTTCTTAATATAAACAAAGACAGGAGGGTCTCTATGTTTAGAAAGGATAAGAAACTGTAAAAAGGTGCTGTGACTTGATCCTCTCAACTCAATCCCCAATCTACACCATCTCAGGATGGAAGGGGAATGAAAAGTCTGGAAATTTAACTGGCCCAAACTTTCTAGAACTTACCTAAAGGGCTCTGTGGATTTATTCTGCTACAGACATCTGGAGACAAGAAAACTGACTTGTTTAAAAGGCTTGGACACATTCTCCCTGATTATACTCCTATTCCCCAAATCTCTGACCAGGACTATTCCCTGGAATATGGCTACTTGCTGGGGAGAAACTCATTTTCCTGAACTCTCTTATCCAAAAGAGATGCTGGGTAATATGCATACAAAAACAAAAAATAAATAAATATTAATATCCAAAAAGGCTTTGTGAGTTAATTAGCTTGCTTGTGAAAACAACCCAGGTGTTGCTAAGTCCCACCAGGGGCAGTGTCAGGCGAGGCCAGGAACTCCCAGAGCTCGCCTAAACAGGGTGAGGTAGTATGAGCTACTGAGGTGCCACCTCGTTGAGTATGCAAGACTGAGGTCCCTCTCCCTCCAGCCTTCTTTGGGCAAGACCCCTTCAAAGACCAACTAAAAATGAAGCCAAACAGCTACATGGACTGGGTCACCCAGGAGGGCCTGAACCAGCTCCACCCAACAGCACCCCCTGAAGGTGATGCAAAAACAGATCAAGATCAATTCCAGCAGGTCAAAGGTGAGCTGCCAAAGCTCCAGCACTGTTAGAACAGAAGTAAACAACAGGTTACCCGACTGGGACAGTCAGAATGCACACCCTGCTACATACCACCAGTTACTCAGGTCCCTTTATTCCTGAAGGGATCATAATATATCACCACTGCACACCTCTTGGGTCTTCCCATCTATCTTATAGGCCAAACCCTTCTGGGTGGGAAACGGATGTAAATTAAGGCAAGGCTGCTGCTGTCAGACCTCCCTCTCCTCTTCACCAGGAAACTCAAGGTCACTAGAGGCTACCAGAATAACAGATGATATATCCCCTTACTCTCTGCTCCACAGGGAAGGCCTGACATCTCGGCCATCATTGTGTTTCTTTGGAAATGAGGAGAAAAGAGAAGCCTTCTTGCCTGTCCATCCAGGTTGCCACTGCTAACAGCACTACAGGACACCCCTTCTGCTGGCAAGGAGTCATCCCAAAGCTTTCCAAAATAAATAGAAAGCTTTGTCCCCATTTTGGATCTAGTTGTCAAAAGATTTTCACTGTCCAGTCAGCAGATTAGAGCTATGGAGCAGGTAGGTACCTCCATCTCTGACAATTTTCCCCTTCTAAGAGCTAGCCCTGGAACCTGAGGTGAGCAGCCGCCCTGCTAACCAGTCCCTTCCAAATGACCACATTCCCCAAATCTTTCTCATAGCTGGTCATCCCAGTTGGAGGTCTGGCTATAATAACCACAGTGAAAACCTTTCTCCACATCCTCTCCAGTGAGGCTGTTGGTTGGATTCTTAGCAGCATGAAACCTATCAGTAAACTAAAACTAGACAGGCTGGGGAAAGGGATCTAGCTGTCATAAAAGCTTGACTAGATCCCCAAATCAGCCTCAAAAGAATCAAAAACAACCCTGTGTGGGCAAGAACAGGTATGGAGGTAAATGCAATAGGGCCATTGCTTCTCAAAAACAGTCACAGCTTATGTGCTATTTCTTTTTTTTTTTTTCTCCTTTAAACACAACACAGAATTCCTAGCAAGGCAAAACTGTAGCACCCACTGAGGAGGGACCAACAGCCATTAGAAAATCACTACCCTGGCTGCCACCTGGAAGCTCCCCACTGGCTCTACTGGGACCAGTCAGCTATCTGGGGTCTTTTCGGCCTCTTTGGAATGGATAATGTACATGAAGGTTTGCTCGATGGTGAAGTCAGGTGGCAGGCTGCCTTTGTGCACACCAACATGTTTGCTCATGAGGTTAAGAGTAGAACTGTAGTGGCCACACACAGTGCAGCGGTACATGAGTGCCCCCGAGTGTGTCTTGAGGTGGCATTTGATGGTTGAACGGCCTCGGAAGAACTTGTGGCACACCTTACACTGGTATGGCTTCTCGCCTGTGTGGATCCGACGGTGGTAGTTGAACTCACTTGTATGGGCAAACCTTTTGCCACAGACCTTGCAGCTGTACTTGCTATTCCCAGGTTGGCCCTGGAGAGCCAGATCCTCACTCAGGAACTCCTCTGCTGGCAGCTTCCGTTTCTGGAGGGCTGAGTGCTGTAGCCCCAAGCCAGGCCTTATGTCAAGGCTGCTGTTGCACTTGTGCTGGCTGACATGGTAGCGATAGGCAGCCTCAGACCTGAAGCTCTGGCTGCATAAATGGCAGCGGAAAAGGGCATCTTCTAGGCTTTGGTGCACGGCCATGTGCTTCTCTAGGAGGTGCCAGTCCACAAAGCTGCTGGCACAGACAGAGCAGGAGAAGACCGAAATGCCCAAATGGGAGAGTGTGTGCCACATGAGGCTGCAAAGATTGAGGTGGCGCTGGTCACAGACACTGCAGACCTGGCCCTTCAAGTTCAGATGGTCGAGGATATGTCCTCGGACCACATGGAAATCTTTGGCCAATGCTTTCCCACAGGCAGCACATTTCAAATCTGGTGAGGCTGTCCCTGAAAAGAGACCCAGCTTCCCGGGCAGGGGCTCATTGGGATGAACAATGATGTTGTTCTCAAATATTCCATCCCGTCGGTGAAGGGTTAGCTGCCACTGGGTGAAAAACTTTGTTTCACACATGTCACAAGAGAAGAGGAAAATACCAATGTGGGACAGGACGTGGGTCACCCGAGAGTTTCGGTCCTGGAAGTGAGTCTCACAGACCTTGCAGTTACCTGTCAGTAGGTCCACATGGTCCCGAGCATGTTGCCGGATCAGCTGAATGTTGGGCTCTAGAACTTTCTTGCACACCTGGCAGGGCATAGCTTTATTCTCTCGGTTGTCATTCTCTCCAAAAAGTTCATCCTCACTGTCATCACTCAGTTCGATCACCTCCTCAGCTGTCCCAATCTCCTCAGCAGTGTCTTCAAACTGCAAGTCATCATCCCCCAGGTCCTCTAGCTGGAGCTCATCCATCTGCCCAAAGCCTGGATCTTTGGAGTGTTCACTATTGCTCATACAGGAGTTGGTCCCAGTGGTAATGTCTATTGCATTGTCAGGGGTGAAGAAGCTGTTTTTACTGAAATCTCCATTGCTTTGAACTTTGTATGGCTGGCAAGAGCTCGTGTTAGTCTGGATACCTGTGCTAACAGTGCCTAGGACCGGCTGGGTCACGATACTAGAAACAGATGTGAAAGGAGCAGAGACATCATGGTCTTCTGTCTTTGGTGGCAATGATGGTTGCGGCAGAGGCAAGCCATGATTAGCATCACTAGCAACATTTCTTTCTTCCTCTTTATAGCTTCCTCCCACATCACTGGACAACACATAGTTTCTATCAGGACCAAAGTGCTCCCCACCACCCCGGAGTTCTCCAAGGGGATGGGCAGGATCTGCTGAGGGACAACTCAGGGTGCCGGACTGGTTGTCACTAGTACTAGTCAGAGGCTTTGTCACAGCAGTGCTCTCCAGGTCAGGAAAGGTGGAATGACAGGCCTGGAGGAGGTCCTCCATGCCCAGACGCTCAGCCACCTCATAGATAACACCAACGTTAATCAGGTCTGTGAAGAGCTCTGATGTATAGACAAAGCTCAGAATCTTCTCAAAGTTGGCAGGAGTAATGAAGTCCACCACATAGGTCCTGGCAGCATCAAGTCCAGTATTCAGGAAGAGGTTCTGGAAGTAGCCAGCTGCACAGGCCAGTACGGCCTTGTGGGCTGGGAAGGAGCGGCTCCCCACCACAATGGTGACATCACACATGGTCTCTGAGAGCCGACACTTGTTGAGTTCCTTCAGCAGGTTATTAGGGTGGTTGGTGCTTTGCAGTTTGATCCTCATGCCCATCTTAGCAGCTCCTAGGAAGTTGCTTCCTTATCAGCACAGTTAATCTGTAGACAGGAAGAAAAAAAGATGGATGGCCAAACACATCCCTGCATGAGAGGGGGCTCTGCAGGAGAAAATCCCATCATATTTTTTAAAAATATTTTTTAGTTGTCAATGGACCTTTATTTTATTTATTTATATGTGATGCTGAGAACTGAACCCAGTACCTCACACAGGCTAGGCAAGCGCTGTACCATTGAGCCACCACCCCAGCCCCAAAATACCACCATATTGAATGCACCTAAGTCCCAAGGAACAGGATAAATGGACATGGACAGCTGTTCTATTCTTCTGGGGGCAAGGACAGCAAAATGGTAAGACAATGACCTGTCCCCCTGCATAAACACCCAAACACAGAATCATGATAATAAAACCTAAATTAGAAAAAAAGCTGATTCACTCCATCTTAAAAGTCAGAGAGGTTGTAGGCCTCAAGTTAGTGCCTTACAGCTAGACAGCAGGCATTCCCTTGAACATAATCTTATATTTCATTACCACAGCAACTAGCTCAAAGTTTTCTCACATTAATTTCCTCTTAAATACACTGTGCTATCTCAGTAATTCTATTCCCTCTTGATGCTAAATGCCATGCATATACTTAAATATAATTATCAAAGCTCCATTAGCTGCTGAGGAAGAGATAAGGGTGTTCTCTTCTGTCATTTCCGTGTTCTTTCAGACTCTAAATACGTCTCACACTCATGAATCCCCATCTCTCACTACCTACACTATATGCCTACTCTCTAGCCCTATAACCCAGAGCCATTACAGATGCTGGTCTACCACATTCTCTGAATTTATTCTGTGAATGAAGTTTAAATATTAAACCAAAGAGGAAAGCGAATTAGAACACAACTGTGGTAAATATTACTTCCATACGTTTCATTTCTTTTTACCAACCTTTACCAGGTTTATGCTTATGTTGACACTATACTAACAGATTTACTCAATGCCTTTAAGACAGGCATCTAATTACGTAGGTAAGACTCCTGCAGGCTAGTTCAATATCACTTTTTCCCTTTTCAGCTCCTGCATGCCTAAGTTGCATGCTTGTTCAGTCTCAGGACTCGCCCTGCGCAGTAAAACCCCTTTCTCCATTTCACAAATTCCACCAATAACTCCCAACTTTTTCCGGGCCCAGCAAGCTTCTGAATATTTTTAGGTACCAGTCACGCATCTCCCAGGCCTTGGCGGCCACTCATCCACAGTGGACGGGTCAGGGCACTGGGCAGCCTGAGCCGAGACCGGAGTGGGAGATTCGGAACTTCAGGGGAGGACGCCCCAACAAACGGTGGCACCGCGGTCTCCCCCACGGACGATAGAATCCGCGCGGTCAGGGCATTGGACTGGACAGGGGCACTCCACCTGAAGGACCCCGAGCGCCAGCGTTCCCCCACAAACAGCGCGGGTTCCACCCCGGCGACTCTGAGTGGGAGGCGGGGTGGGCGCGGAGCCGAAAGGGGCCACAGAACGGCTGCCGGGCCGGCGCGGAGGCGCGCGGCGGAAGGATGGGGCCGGCCAGGAGAGCGGGCAAGAGGAGCCCAAGGAGAGCGACAGAAAGGCCGGGCCGGGGTCGGGCTCGGCCAGGGGCAGCCCTAGCCCGGCCGCGCTT